CGGTATCCTAACACCAATCCGCATTCTTCTTAAGGAGATTCGAATGGTCGTGTGTTATTTGTGCGCATGCACTCGAGCATCGCCCAAAAATGGACGATGTGGTTTTCCTCATCCTGCCTATCGTGCTCCGCACGACAGTGGACGAAGATGTCATCGAAGTATGTCTGTGCATACGCCCGGTGGGGCCTATACAATTACCTCACAAGACGATCAAACGTTGATGATGCATTTGACAGCCCACATGGCATCACTAGCCACTCCCAGAGCATGCCGCCCGGAATACTCACCGCTCTCAGCGGGAAATCACTCGCCCTCATGAGCAATTGGTAGTATCCATCGACTAAGTCGAGTACACTGTAATTTGTACAGCCAGACATATTGTTCTGGAGATCACCCTTCCTAGAAAATGGCGTCTGTTCCGGAATGAAGCAGCGTTATGCTTATTGTAAGCGTGAACAATACGCCACTTGCCGTTCCGCTTCCAAACACAAAACGTGGGTGTCGAATGGGGAGACTTGCTCTCACACACAATTTCGTCGGTGATGTCACACCGCTCCTTATGCAGGGGCCATTGGTGTGTTACGCAGTATTTGGTCCCCGGACCAGATCGATCTCATGACGCACACCTCGGTCCAGAGGTATCGTTGGATACGATTTCTTGAGATTTCTTCACCTTAGGATAGTACGGATTCGAAAAATTTATCAGGATCAAAGATCTAAATCGTGCGTTCAGCACCCTCTTGGTGTCATCCAGGACAGCTTCATCCAAACGCAACGACGAGTTGATCTTCACTTCCGGTCGTATAATAAACACTCTGGCTATGTCACCTGCCTTCGAGGTACCGCCGAACTCTTCGAGGGACATTTTGTCGAGCTCAAGAAGAGCATCCCTCGCATGAATAACCTCAAAGGTGATGTCGACGTCTTCTTCCTCCATTATACCATTGACGAGCATGCATAGCTATGCGCTATAGTCTACGGTAGACACGCTAGGTCAGGGTCGATGCCCGGTGTTTTGCAGATAGCATACGGCGTCGCCGTCGCCTCTCCACAAAGGTTGTACGTCTCGGCGAGAATGGTGGTAATACGCACTCAGCATCGTCCAGTGTCCCCACTTCCTATTCCACCGGAGCCTTGATGTTATTAACAACATCCGACAAAGAGCTGCTATTTCTGCAGTTTTCGTCCAGTGTATAACGTACCACTCCACGCGAATGTGATGGGCCTTGCCCAAGATACCTCGGACCTTATCCGACCATGGCACTCGTGGCATGCAACGGCTGCTTGGAAACGTGAGCAGTGCTCAGTGGATTACGTGCCACTCCACATTCAGCCCGCGACCCTTGCTCGGAGCTCCTACCCGATACAGCTCGGTGCTACCAACTCGAATACTCCAATCTCCAGCACGTTGACCAGTGCCCGCGCCAACAGCGTTTTCGCCTCCTAGCAGAGGTGGGTTCGTGACTCACCAAAGCCCCACCAACAGTCGTGCGCGTAGCGCCTAATGTCTTTGACCTCCAGTCGATCCATGGCTCATGGTGTTCCAACCATGCCATACCGAGATAAGGTCATACCATGAATCCAAGTCAACGACTAAGCAGCGTTCCACGCTATCGAAGTCAAGAAGCTTGACACCAAGGTCTACAATCAGCACCGTGACACATGTCCCTATCGCTAAGCAAACAGAGACGATGTCACTCAACCGCACTTTCAGCGCCTCAGCATAGAGCTGACTTCCTTTCATCGGAGAGCGTCGAGCATTATTACCCGACACCCCGGAGTCGATCAGGATCTTCCATGGCTTCTCAAAGCCCTTCACAGACGCTTCCACGACCAGCAAGCCCGGCTTGCATACACGTTTCGTGTTCAAGCGCATGGAGCTCTTCGGAGCGGGGCCATGCTGACATCTACCTCCTTGAGATTCAACAGAACCCAGTTCTTCCTCAGTAGGGCGCCCCGCGCCTACTGCACGTTGTCGTTTCCCGCTACAAACCAGAAGGCTGGTGAGAAGCGGGACGTCAGTTTGGTGAACCTTGACGCGACTTGCCCAGGGGACAATTAATCCGAAGGTGACGGGTGTCTTCAAAACCCGTCGGGTGTTCGAACGCTGCCCGACAGCTTGGAGCTCTGCCTCCTCTTTCTCATCATAGCTGAGGTCCATCGGCTCAGGCCTGATCGACGATCTGCTAGAGTGTGCATTCCAACCAAGTCATGCCGACCTAAAGTTGAGTTCGACATTCAATGCCACATTCACTGCTGTTGCACAAGAAATACTTCCATTATGGCCACGCCAGTGCGAAGGCCCTCCATTAAGACGGTCACTGTGACCGCCTCGGGGAGAGGATCAGCTGCCATTCCGGCAATGAGAGTAAGCAGCTTCTGGACAGATCATTAATTCTTTCTTGCCTTGCGAGGTGGCAAGGAAACGCGATCGCACGCGATATGCATGATAAGGCGACAAGAACACTGATGAAAGCTGCTGCTTCAGCTCCGTCCAAAAGAGACACGACGCTTCAACCGAAGTTCCGCACGTAAGAGCCCATTCTTTCGCTCAACCACCGATCTTGGAGATAGCTAGCGCTACGCGCTGCTGCTCGGTCTGGAGCAAAGCGGACGCCATAGCTATCTCGGCCCTCTCACACAGAGCAGGAGATTCTCTCCATCCTTACCCTCGAAGGTCTTAACGCTCACCATCAGCGGCTTAGGTAGGAAAGATTCATCCATCGTCCAGAGTGGCATCATGGACGCAGTTGACGCCAACATCATCCACTCTAGGTGATCTAGCCGTGCATTTCCATAGTCTGAAAACATCTCTACGCGCGCGCTGATCGCTTCAGGTCCTTTTAAAGCGAGGTGTTGCACGTCCTCAAGGCCATCAATGACATCAGCTTTTTAAGCCCATCCTGCATGCTCTGGGGCAAATTAAAGAACTGCTCTATCCTCACAGAAGATCAGTCAAAACGACTCAGGTGTAGATTGACTATAAGTGATACCAAGTGCATCGATGCTGCCGTAGCTCTTTCGCTTAGAGAAAGCTAAGCTAAGGTTGGTGACTTCCGTTCTATACTCAAAACCAATACGAGTGTAGATCGCAATCTGCTTCCTCCAAGAGTAAACACATCCTTAACTCAAGGCAAATATACTCTTCCGTTCAAAATCTAACTTGTATTTCTTGGTTTACATCTTAATCTATAGGCTTTTTTAATTCAATAGTAATACCTAATTAAAATGCATAACTACTGTTAGTCCAGCCACGTTTTCTGACTTCTTTATAAGTGTAGCCACACCATTGTTTGATCACACCGTTTTGTGTACCCCACATCCTTGTATGATCACACCATCTTGTATGACCCACCCCTTCATACCAGGGTACGCGTAACCGCGTTGAATCCTGTTTGCGAGATGCACATCAGCCATGTTGCAGCCCTTCTTCAGACAGAGCTCAGCACATCTCGCAAACGGCCATCACTCCAAGCTAGGAGGAGGCAAGCTCTAAAAAAAATGGAATTTTCTTCGGTACGTGACGTGCCCCTTATGAAAACTTTTTAAGCTACAGTGTTTCTGAACGTTTATTTTGGCTACTGCGCACGATTACAATTTTTGTCCACCTGTCAAAGGTGGAAAAGAATTCGCAAAATATGGCGGGAGCTGCGTGCCATTGTAGCGGCAAACTCATTTTCGACAAAGGTAACGGTAAATATCTTTATGGATACGCCCCGCGCAATTTGCGCCGTCAGCTACCGCGATCACGCATCCTTTCTTTGAAATACGGTAGCTGTTGTATTCAATGCGGAGTATAACTTTCGTGCCGTGAGGAACGGTTGACGTATGGTAGCATCTTTGCTTGCAATGGACCCTAGCGAATTAATGTAATCTCCCAGCTTCCTAGCGGTGCTCTGGTGCTCTCAGATGTGATATCTGTGAAAATACGAGCATTTACAATTTGCATGCTCCTACTCGCTTGGTCAGCGGTTCGAAAAGTCGACCTTTCACGCAGGATCGACCGATGAATCCCTAGTTAAGGATTGAGAGTTCAAGCAGGTACCGGTGACCCACTATGGTTTATAAACCGCTAGAAGTCGCGATCATCGGGGCCCATCCCGATCGGAAAGGACTCTGTATTAAAGAGTTGAGGTTTGTTATACATTGAGCACAAGTGTACGGACGTAAAGGATGTATGTACACCATCGTATGGTAACGATTCTACTGTAAAGCAAAGACTCTGCGGTTGAGCGGGGTACAGAGTAGTCAAGGCTTCAGTGAAAAGTCGCACTAGTCTTCCACGTAACCGAGACAATTTTAATCTAGGCTCAGCGATGTAATGCATGCAGCAGACACTTCTATGAGCTTTTGCTGTAAAAGTTACTTAATCGCATGACATCCCATGTGTTGCATTCACTACACAACTTCTTGCCATGTTCTTTGGATGCCGCAATTATTCTAAAAAGTTCTTGTACCCTTCGCGAGTTCCTCGACATTTCTTGGTGGACGTGCAATAAAAATTCTGTTCAAACCAATGTGAAGAGAAAAAAAGTATCAGCTCTTGATCAAGTCTGGTTTTGCGCTACTCTGAAGATTTTGACATTCGTATTCGTATGGCCCGAGCAATTTGTAGCACTAGCAGATTATTTGCACATGCGACGGATTTGTTGCAGTAATGACAAACCGAAAATAACACAATTTTAAGACGAGTTCTTGCGCTCATTAAATATGTGTATTTACACTGATAGCACTGCCTGACCACAGAAAGGTATTTCTGCTACAATTTTTCCACCACTACGGGCAATAAGTATCTCATACCTTTTGGCCAGTGTACATAATTGACTGTTGCATTGCATTCTCCGACGCAAGCTATTTTTTATCCATTAGCGTAACCCAAAATTCAGCATTACGTATTCTGACATCTTTCTGATTATTCTCCATCAAGTATCCTCAGAATCATCAGATTTCACCCAAATTTTTATGTTGGATCGAGTATTAACTATTCTGCATAATTAAATATGGATGAACGGCCAATGCTTCGGGGCATTTTCGCCTTCGAGGATGAAGAGACCCCGGAATGGCGGCGTGTGGTCATGTCCGAGACGTCGGGTGGTGTACCGAAGTTCGCCACTAGGGCGGAGTGTGAGGATTTTATTCGTAAACACTGCTGGCGCGGCTCCAATCCAAGCTTTCCCAAGCTGCAGCACGTATTTTCAATGTTTGTAAGCTGGCAACAAATTGAAGAAGTCTTGTCACCCAAAATTGATGAGTATGATCTTAAATTTCCGCCTGAACCTGCACCCTGTATAAGTGCTGACAATCGCTTCGCACACGGTGAAGGCTTATCGATCACCGAAAACGTCGACTACCGCGTAAACTTGCCTTTTCACCAACAAACGAATCGCGAGTCAACATATAATACTCTGCACTATTTATTTTATCATATGCGCTGCGGCATCTTTGTGATGATTCGTCGCCGGCGCGTTGTCATCTTCGCCCCTTTTGCTAATAAAGATTACGAAAACAATTGGGGACATAACGTGACTTTTGACAGCTCCGACGGTAGTATGTACACCTATTATCGCGAAAAACAGCGCTGCTACCGTCGCGAGAATATTATTCAAGATGTGAACAAGTGGTGGGCCAATGGTAATATCATTTGCAATGAGCATTGCAGATATCGCGATCGAGAAGATGAGACTCAGTACTGGGGAGACCAGTTCTTAACACAACTAAGGGATATGCTTGAGAATGCATGCAACAACCGCAATATCGCCGACTGTGAATTTTTTATCAACAAACGCGACTATCCACATTTGAAGGTATGTAGCTTATGTACGATGCTACATTTTTTTACGAATTGATGCTTGACTTAATATGTTTGGTAGAAAAATCTGAGCGAGCCATACGGCTTTTTATTCGACAAGGATGATCGCGATCCAAGTGATGATATTCCGCTAACAAGACACCTTTATGCGACGTATGCACCAGTAATGAGCTTTTATGTGTCGAAGCGCTTTGCAGATATTCCTTTTCCTTGTTCCGAAGATTGGGAAGCTGCGACTGGTCTTGTGTTCCCACAATCGTTCCGACATACGCATTGCGACAAATGCCCATGTCAAAACTTTGTACACTGTGAAAACGATTGGGAATGTTTCTGCGACGTTGGTGCGAATGGCCGAAAGAGACACGGCATTGAAAGTGCGCGAGACCTGTTCACAGCAAACAATTTCCGCAAATTTTTCATCCCGTGGGAAAATAAGGTGAACACGGCATTTTTCCGTGGCAGCGCTACTGGTGGTGGCACCACGATTGACACTAACCAACGTCTTCACTTGGCCCATCTTTCCACCATTTGGAAAAAGGATCCGACGATGATTTGGAAGGCCCAAAGTGATTCTCTGGACGAGAATAGTGTCGACCAAGAGCTGGTACCGCTTTTAAATGCTGAGGTAACAACGTGGAATCTCCGCGATAAGAAAATCGCGGGCAAGCCGATGACGTATTTGCACAGCAAAAATTTTGTTTTTGAGGCTGGACGCCAGCATTTTATACCAATCTACGAGCAATCAAAGTTCAAATACATACTATATGTCGAAGGTCACTGTGCCGCGAATCGTTACGCATTTTTGATGCGTCTGGGCAGCGTGATTCTGAAGGTGGAGTCACGATGTGTTGCCGATGAAATGTGGTATTTCCCGATCCTCAAACCTTTTGAAGACCACGTGCCCATTAAGGCAGATCTTTCGGACCTAGCAGAAAAGATTAAATGGTGTCGTGACAACGACGGTAGGTGTCAGCAAATAGCAACATGTGCGAATGAACTGTATCAAAAATTTGTTTCAAAAGAGGCTATTCACGACTACGTGGAAGTGATTTGCAATCGAGTGGCACAACGCTTTCGAGCTACGCCAAAATGGTACAAGCGTCCAGAGTGTGTTAATTCGATAAAGAAGCCTGACTTTGGCCGTTGTCGTGGAATGTGTGTTGGTGGCTCAAGCGCCCGCTATTGCAAGCGCTGTCAGGAGATGAAGGAAAGTGACGATGAAGCACGAGCGAACCGTGAGTACGAGCGACAAACTTCAAGGAATAATTATGGTGGCTTCTCGTACAGCAGTTTTGGTCGCGACCATGGCCGCAAGCGTAATCGGTCTCACGGTCATGATCGATCAAGTCATAGTCACCGTAGAGAAGATCGTGACCGTGCTGAACGTGGCTATGGCGGTGCCTCGATTGACTACCGTGGTGACAATATGTGCGACAGGAGTCGGAGTCCAAACCGCCCACGCGTGCAGCAATGCCGTAAATGCCGTCGTGCAAAGTCTGCGTGTCAATGTAGTTTTCGTGGCACATAACCACCAGTTCAATCAAAGTATTGTGAGAAGTGCTTACCTTGTTTGCCTGTGTAATAGATCACCTTGCTGTGCTTAGTCACTTGTCATTGTTCGGTGTTCAGGTGTCCCTGTAGAAGCCGCATGTCGCATCATTATTGTATTACTGAAAAGTCATACTTACACTTTGGTTTTACTGCATCTTATAAATTTAGTGCAGCTGAAACTGCAGCAATGACATTAGAAACCTTATAGAATATAGATCAATGGATCTCGAGTTGAATAATGGTGAAGCGTATCCTGTCAGCAGGAGTAAGCAAAGGAAACGAATTTTTCAGCGACAACTTCTCAATCGCCTATCTGAATCGAGAATGTTGGAGATACTTGATCGAGGATTACAGCAGGCACATCATAATTTAGGCTCTTGCAACCAGAAGCACGAGACACAAGATATCGACCAGCTCGACGAAAAGGATGAAGAAGAACTTGTCTGCGTGTCTACAATGATCAGGATGGCAAATACAGACCCTGCCTTATCGGAGAGCACGGAGTTCCAGACGGGGTGTGTTTTGAAGACCGTTCGCTATATTCACCGCCAGCGAGCTGTTGGGTCGGGGAATCAGACGAATCATTAACATATACAGGGCCAAAAAGAGTAGCAGATTGCTCGACATCTTGGGCTGCTTTCTATGATTATATGCTAGCCCAATTTAGCATCTTGTGATATGTACCATTCATCTTCACTACGATTCAAAATGTGAACACCTTTCAGCACCTACCACAAACTGAATAAATTTGTTCGGATAAAAATTGGTTCCTTCGAACGTTTCGTCACGACAAAGCCTCCCAAGCTCTTCTGCTACCTTCAATTTAATAGACACAATATATTACGACGCGCTAGACACGAATTATTATATAGATGTCGACATACCTTCAAATATTCCCAGGCTAACGGAAGGGATGTATGCATCTCAACCGACACGTCGGTCGAACTGATGTAGCCAGAACTTGATTTTTGCGCCATCTTAACAAGACGTTCGGCCACCTTGTCTTCGCGATGTGAGTCAGTTTGTAGCACAATCAATCCGCCAGCGAATTTACGCATACTGTAGCCAAGCTTCAGTCCCTTCTGCAACATCGCTGCATGATACAGATCGTCAGGAGATACCAACTCGACGCCTCGTGCTCGATTGAACATGCAATAGATATCCGATAAGGTCATGATCCCTCCATTCTTCGGCATATAGTCGCCAAGGAATTCTGCTAGCTGTCTTGCCAATTGCTCGTAATAGGCCGCACCTGAATTCTCACGCGTGACTGGACTGTTTATACCCATATCCAGCATCAGCGAGCTTAACTTGTTGATATCATCTTCATTAGACGTTTGAGTTATATCTTCTCCATTCGTTCCCCCCATTTTCTGCGTGTCGACATACCGCTCAATCAAGCTGACCATATCTTTCGCCTTAAGCATTAGATTAGCCAAATCTGAAAACGCTGTAGCTGCCAATTCTGTTGTCTCTAGCTGCGCTTCTTGCTGGCGACGAATGATACCAGCAATTCCTGCATCTGCAGCATTAAATTGCCGCTTTACCAATCGCCGATCTGACAAATGACTCGGCTGTGAGTCGTTCCACGCTTTTCGTTTGAGCGAAGCTTCTAAGGGATTAAAGAAATCGTCGCGTCCTCCATCTTTAAATGATAGCTTTAAAAATGAAGAGACCAGTGGTTGCGTGCGAGTAGTCATGTCTAATCGCACTTTTGCAGAGCGTTGTAAGAAGCCCGCCTCCTTCGTAACACGAGTGATCCACTCCAGTGGAACAAAAAACGCCACGGGTGGTGAGCACGTTTCGTCCATATAGAAGAGGCGGTGTGTGGTGACCGAGCATCGGCCACGCACATATTGCGTCTTAAATGTTCGGTCATACAGACCAATATGCTCCTCACTGTAAATTTCTACCTCGTTACCAAAGAGTGCGGGTCGACCAGCAGCGGTAAGTGGTAAAGCTGTAGACATACAAGGTGAGACTAGCGATACTACTAGGCAAATTTTAAATATTTCGAACGCCTACTTTGAAGAATGTCCATCACTGATACACAAGTGAGCGTTTGTTGTGCACGTTGTCGACTTCCGCGAGCGACAGGCGTAGATGATGTCGCGCTAGAGCTAACAGAGCGCGGAGAAGACGACGCCTCGCTCATTATGGGGAGAGCTTAACTTTAAAGCTTGCCCATCAGTACAGCACCGTTACACAAATCATGATAATCATCGTCCAGTTTATAGGCACCCCATCGACTAAATAACTACAAAGATAGCACCTACATTTGCGATTTCAACAATTTGCAGAGTGATAGTAGAAGAAAAAAAATCCTTGCGAAAGGTGATGCAAATTTTCTTTACGACGCTGTTCATCTTCGGCGCGATATGATAGCGACATCGACCAAAGCAAAAGTGTAAAAAGGGTAGAATGAAAAGGCTATAATCTCAACGATTGCAGATGGAAGTCAGGAATGTGCCTGCCCCTGGGATAACTAATTCAAACGACCATTGGCAGCGCGGATAAGTGGCACGAAATGCCCCAGCGTTCATCGGGTCTGATCAACAGACTCATCCGAAGGTGGAACGGAGCTGAACCAAGTCCGAATTAGGATGTTTTTGAACCGAACAAGCACATGTACGCGACAAGCTGTTGCAAGATACCGATGTGGGATTTGAACAAGCAAAAATTCTGGGTCTCTATCAGGTTTTTAATCTTAGACGTAGTGCACTGTACTATCAGGGCTGACTTATTTTGTTTTGTTTACCAAATTGTCGTTTTTCTAGTCAATCTGTACCACCTTTTACAACACTTCTCGCTCTATCCACTTTTTGTTTATTTGAGAATTATGTAGCAAGGGGGGTTTACACACCAAAATTGCAACTATATTTAGAGCCCTTTTTAAAATGCGTTACGTAAGCTTTAGGTGCAGACGGAAAATAACTTAACAACGGACGAGGCCGCGAGAGAACGCCGACTCGCCGCCTTACCACATCACGTATCCAATTTTTAACAGAAAGCAGCTACAGCACCGGAGCCTTCACGATTGTAAGTACTTTAGTCGCTTTTTGTATAGCATCTCCTATCGCTGTTGCTGTCGCTTGAGAAGATATTTTTTCTCTGCTTGTAATATCTGGCCACTCTATTATCGCTCTCTGTTGCGCCGTCCAATCATTGTTTCTAGCTGATTGGTGGGTGCAGTAAGGAGGAAAATGAAGTCAAAATTTCTTTGTTGATAGATGCGGAGTTTGAGAAAGAAAGATCTTTTACTGACTCCACTTAATATTTTTTTGTTTTTGATGGCGTCCAGAGTTGTGATCTCTCAATAGTATGGCTCGTCATGAGAATCCGTTTGATATGCAGATCAAACTGCTGATGATCGGTGACAGCGGTAAGTCTAAAAGTGAGCAATGTTATGGCTTGGGGAATGACGGATTGGTGTCTGTAGGTGTGGGAAAGACGTGTTTGTTGTTACGCTACGCAAACGACTCTTTTTCTCCGACATTTATCACTACCATCGGTATTGACTTTAAGATAAAAAATATAGAGCTGGACAACAAGAAGGTGAAGCTTCAAATTTGGGACACAGCTGGTCAGGAGCGCTTTCGCACCATCACGACATCATACTTTCGCGGCGCGCAAGGCATATTATTGGTGTATGATGTCACAGACCGCGCATCGTTTCAGAGCATTCGCAACTGGGTGGGCCAGATCCAGCAGCACGCTGACGTACACGTGAATAAAATTCTCATTGGCAACAAATGTGATATGACGGATGATAAGGTCATTAGCACGGAGGAGGGTCAGGCATTAGCGGACGAGTACGGTGTCAAATTTTTTGAGACAAGTGCGAAGAACAATATTAACGTGGAAGGCGGTTTTATCGAAATTGCGCGCGAAGTAAAAAACAGACTTATGGAAGAGGGTGGCTCGCACAAAAAAGACAGCGTCAATCTTAATGCAAAGCCGGCTCCCGTGAAGAAGGGCTGCTGCTAGGTCTTTAGGCTTTCAGTCAATTTGCTCGGGCCCGGGAGCGTGTTAGTTTTTAACGTGCATGCTATAGCTATTATTCTCTTTTATACAAATTACCTCGAAGTACTTTCTCTACAACACACGTGACCTAAATATGGATCTTTGCAAAAAGTGATTTAAATTTTGCTAATCAGAAGAGGGAAATAATATTTTTATTAACTTACAAGGCATATTGAAATAAGTTAGCCCTTGCACTATGTCTAAGAACAACTAGTGAAATGGTAAGGGACTGTTTCACCATTGACACTGCGGTTGTTCATCGAGGTTATATTAGATCGGGTCTTGTATAACCTTCGGGTGAGTCTGTCGATCAGACTGATGGGTTGCAGCTGTCCCTACGTTCTCGGATAACATAATCAAAATGATCATCTGTGCATCCTGCGATCTTTCACTATTATTTTGCTACCCTTTTTAATTGCAATAAGAGCGCACTTTCCTTGAACCATAGCGGCGTTCTTCACAGCATCCCATTACCCACCGCAGCGCTGTCAATTAGGCGAGCTACATCGTATCGCCAATTCTGTGCTGAATTTAAGGGCGAGGTGAGCTATGCGCTACTTGTGTTGTTAATTCGTCAAGGGTTTAGTCCATATAGTGCGGCAGCGTATTCCAGCCAATGTGGCCAATTTTCTTGAGATTCTCTAATCTGTTTTAGACAATCTGTATCATCTTTGGCAAGGATTTACGATTTGAGTTTTTGACGGAAAATTGTTCATCGAAAAACGACGCTTCGCTTATGGTCAGCCGTACGTATATGAACTTCTTTGTATCTCAGACGCTTATCCTTATACCCTGTATTCATTTCGAGGCTAAATAACATAATTGATTGTGTTGCATATAATTTTACAGCAAAGGAAACAGTAAACAAGCCCAGCATTGACGAGTTTGTGCAGGGTAAAATCCTTGGCGAGGGTAATTTTTCGCGTATCATAGAAGCCACACACAAGACAACGGGGGATAAATTTGCTCTAAAGGTCATTGAAAAACAGCGGATTAAACGATTACGTCTGCGTCATCAAAACATTTTTAATGAGATCAATATGGAAAAGGACGTTCTCAATCGCTTGCGTCACCCGAACATCGTTCGATTGTACCATACATTCCAGGACGACAATAATCTATATTTCTTATTGGATCTGCTAAGCGGTGGAGAATTACTTTGCCATTTGCTTCACAATGGACGGCAGCATGGATTGGATGAGAGACTTGCACGTTTCTATTTGGCAGACATCGTGAATGCAGTTGAGTATATTCACAGAAATAAAATACTTCATCGCGACCTTAAACCAGAAAATATGGTGGTTTGCAATGACGCGGGTGGTCATATTAAGCTTATTGACTTTGGCACAGCCAAAAATTTAGATGACGAGAAGCTTAATGGACCAAATTTCGTTGGCACGCCAGAATACATGCCTCCGGAAACGATTGAAAACCAAAATCCGACCTACGCTAGCGACATGTGGTCATTTGGTTGCATCGTATTACAACTCTTGACAGGGGAAACACCTTTTAGCGGTGGCAGTGCCTATCTAACCTTCCTTCGCATTCAAAATGGAAACTACTACATGCCAAACTTCCTTTCAGAAGATGCCAAGGATTTGATCAGCAAATTGTTGCAGAGAGACCCGAAATCGCGACTTGGAGGCACAGAAACCAATGCTATGAGTGCAGTCAAAGGTACTGCGTCCCTTGCTCTTGTCTCGGCTCAAATCTAACATCGCGTGCTCCTGATAAAGCACACCCTTTTTTCAAAGGCATCGATTTTGACAATCACATGTTAGCACTGCCACCTAGTAATCACTTTTGTGGCTCGAAGCTGTTCTCGCTTGTTAAAAGCCTTGTTGACGCAGAATCGAAACGAGATGCACAACATCCATTAAGTTATGATGATGATCTGTTGCAAAAACAAATTGAGGCACAATCATCACGAGACAAAAGTATACTGATGCATATTCTTCGTCGCCAGCAAGTTTTGCACTTGCCAGGTGAGTGCACTGGCTAATTCTTTTTGTACAATCAGCTCGCTTACGCTTTGGCCATAACGTAGGGATGTATCCTCGCTTCTTCAGCTCAGTAAGCCTTGGTCGATGTATGTATGCACGTGACCATGTATATTTGGGACTCGAACACGAGCTTCAAAATCAGTGGACTGAAAATTTCTCTTTTATGCTGGTGAGTGCAAAGATGACAATTAAGTCTTGCCGTATCACCTCGCACAGCTTTTTTTGATTTGTGCTATCTTTGTCTAGCTCTCTGGACCAAAGCTTGGACTAGCCTCTGCTATAGCAGAGGCAGACAATAGAGGAGGCTCTACATGGGAAACAGAATTGGCTACATTCCTGGACGCAATAGACATTTTGAATTCCCAACGACCGGCTTTTGTTGTGATATGTGGCGATTTTGTAAATGCTTCTCCAAGTCAAGAATTCTACGATGCTCAAGTCAAAGCTTTTCAGAAACTGCTTAATCAATTGATACCTGCAATCCGCCTGGTATTATGCTTATGCCTGATAGCTAGCCACTTACTTATTCAAGCATTTCTTAATTCGCTATTTCGACAGGTTTTCGTAGCGGGCTGTAATGAGTTTCGCGATCAAGACGAATTTAAAAAGTATCAAGAGCGTTTTGGCGATGCCCGATTCAGTTTTTGGTTGGTTTGCGACTGCACTTTATTGTTTTAGCAATATAACAACTATTTATTTTGGTTACCTAGGTTCGGTGGAATCAAATTTGTCGTGGCCAATACAGCAATTCTTTGTGGTAAAAATTGGTCAATTGAAGAGGCAGCTCAAGCAGGTAAATTCTTGCGCTGCATCTTGTTCTATCGCGTTGTCTGATACCATTCATTGTTTTTTTACGTAGAATGGATAAAATTCGAACTAAGCAACGGAAAACTGTGCGCTCGTGGCACAGCGGTGATATCAGGTCACTCTCTATCTCCAAAGACATTAGGCACTGCTGATGTCGATACTACTGAGAGCACTCACGATACTCATAACGATGATGTGCCAGAACAGGTTTGGTTGCTTTGCAATGATCATATTTGCAGCATAGACATTCACCCATGTATTTGCTAGTTTCGAGCAAAGTATTGGGATATAATAAAGAATGGCCAAGCTTGCATTCTGATGAGTGGAAGCTCGCATACGAACAATGAGACCAGTGTTGTGATAAAAGCATCCGAAGAAGGAGCTGACGAGTACAATTGCGACATCGTACGATGCAAAACGCCGTGGGGTGGAGCCTCTAGCGTCATATATCACACCGAGGTGTCACAATCCAGCCTCACCTCGAAGCCAATCTATGTGGAGCACGCAAGTGCTAGGTTCAGTCCAAGTCCTATCAAGGCAACTCAAGGCAGCTCTATCGCTTCCGAAGAAAATGAACAACAATCGGTCTTGGCCAGCGAGATGGTGTCACTCAGCGTCAGTTTAGCAGATAATTAAACGTTGTACGTTAAAGAAAAACCTTTCACTTGTCGACGAAGGCATTAGGCACTAAGCAATATTTTTATGTTAATCAGGTAACTATCTCTTCTCTTTTTTAAAATTCTTTTTTCATTCAAGCCACAATATTCAGTCACAAAAGACTTTCCTCTTCGCTCTCGAACTGCTGGCTTTCTTGATCATGCTGACTCATCCGAATAGACACACGTTGAAATTGTGCAGCGCGACTGGCCCGTTCATAGCGGTCGCGGCTGCGCTTGTCGTTGCGCTTTTTTTGTGCGACAACGCCCATCAGCATGACCACAAGCACCGCAATTAATGCGAAAATGCCCATTGCCTCTTCATAAGAAGGCGGATTAAGAGTTAAGTTTGTTGTCACCAGCTTTTGCCCCATAGGTCCCATTAAAAGTCGCACATTTGCATCAGCGAGCGTAGTACTGGGCTGACTCGCAAATAAGCTTTCCAGCTTCTCGTCCACAGCCTTAAGCAGCTGAAAGACTTCGACGTCCAAACTGGGATAGGGGACAACCGCCGCAATATCCAAGCTGACAGCACAGCTCATAGCTTCATCGTTACTTCCTTGTCTGACGACGTTCAGTGCACTGAAGTTCACCTGTTTGGGTAGGAAGTCAGTAACGACATCACTCTTCAGAGTGCTCAGCATCTCCGTGCATGCCCCTTGCTGTAATTTCAGTATGCTTTGAGATGCTTCGTTCAAGCTTTCAGTCGATACCAAAGCTGCATATAGCTTGTTGTCGTCCAATCCTATCGTAGCTCGTGCAAACAAGACGTTCTTTAGCTCTAAAGTGGTCAGCAATTTTTCCAGCTGCTTAAGCACACTTTGAGCTGTAGTGAAAACGTCATGCAGTCCACTTGAATTATCCAATACTACACCCTTTATCGCCAAGTACAGCGTACAGCCATTACCACTTGCGGCCTTAGACAGTTGCAAGTTTCCTTGAAATGCCGCTGTGGCAGGTAAAAGCTGCGCTGTCAGCGCAGCGTTGGAGCTCGGCAAGTTAGTTATCGAGTGACACGAAGATTCGGTAGTGTACAAGAGATCTTCAGCCAAGTAAAGTGGTGATGGAGCGTCAGCTTCGACTTGATTCATTTTTTCAGAATTCGGGAGAAAAGTAAAGCGATAATTGGTTCAATGTATCCTTTCTGGGTGAGCAACATCACTTCAACTTGAATATTCCACCTATCAGACATTAGTTCATGAAAAATGAGCACTATCAAGCTGAATGCAGCATCGGAACACGTCGGACAAAGCGTGCAATTTATTGCGGCTGTGCAACAAATTGCAACAGGAAAAAAAGTGCTGGTGGCGCGTCAGCGCGTCCAGGCGTGTCATGTCCTCTATGTCGGTGACGCTAGTCGGCAATTCTTCAAGGTCACATGCTGGGGAGAGACCAAGCCCACGTTACTTCATTCATCGTCATCGTCAGAAGACTCGAATCCTTTGCAATTGTCAAGCGTGGATGCGATGTTACAGATTGGAGACATCGTCTTTTTCTCATCCTGCTGCATTAAATCTTATCGGGGTAATGTGGAAGCACAATTTGTCTTGTGCAAGGATAAATCCACGACGTCGTCGACGGTGCAATTACTGTATCGAAAAGATCGCTATTTCAGTACGCAGAATGTTTCTTTGAAGGATCTATATCCGATGATATCGTGGTATAAGCAAAGCTGTCGAGAATTTACGTTTGAGGAAGGAGTGTCACCAAAAGGGAGAAGAAACAAATGTTTAATCAAAGACCTGAAAGATAATATGGTAGCTTGTGTTGTCTGCAAGCTGCGAAAATTTGGTGACGATGCTGGACGACTTACCATTAGTGAAGGAGGTGTTGCTACAGAATTAGACGGCGTACTGCTATGCGAGCTCATTATGTTTGACTCTCCCCGAGATATGATGACTTTGAATCTCTGGGACCAGCATGCTGATAAACGGTTTGTTGATCGTTTATTAAGGCATCGTGGTGCCATTGAGATTAATGGTATAGTTGTTAGTCTTCAAGCACTATCCAATCGGCTGTTTGCGAATACCACACCTCACACAGTATTTCATTTATTGAAATTGGAAGACCTGGAGTCAATCGAACTGGAAAATAAAATTAAAAATTTTGAGAAGCCATTCCCGACCGAAATGATCCCTTCTGGCTCAACGACGTTCGCAACTCTTGATGAGATAGAAGGGTGTTTGTTCGAAGGTAAAGCTATTTTGAAAAATGTTCAGGTGGAACAGATATGTTTTGACCGTTTTCTCGGGAGTAAATCAAGTGTGTTACCAAAGTTTGCTCAACAGTTAGTGGAGATGTATTGTATCGGGTGTAATCAAGCGCTTTCAAAGCTGCCTGTTTGTGATAGCACTATTATACTTCGCTTCGGAGCTTGTGCAAGCAAGTGCAAGTCTCATCAAGATAACTCTCTAGATGCCCCATGTTGCTGGAGATATCGACCTTTTTCAATTACTTTGCGTGATATTAGGAATGAAAGATTGCAAGTCGAAGTCAATGATCAGGCAATTAAAGAATTGGTGGGAAATATTGAAGCAGGTGTTGTTGCTGAGTCGTACGACAGCAAAGATCAAGAAATTATTTTGCCTCATTTTGACGCTGCGTTCGCTGTAGCTTCGTTACTCAATGCCCTGGTTGATGATGTCAATTATAGATATGAAGCTCAGCTCTTGTGCTCTACGATAGCTAGCCAACCCACTGAAAGCTACAAAGATACGAGCCACAACGAACATCCTACGATTAGAAGACATTTTTGCCTGATTTCACTTACCTCAAGTGACACATATCTAATTTAGTACCCGGACAAATTTTTTGTCATCGAATAAAAAACATTCGGTTGCATGCAGTAATGTATAAGGCAAGGCTTCCTCGTTATTGTTATAAATAGCAATTGATGATGTTAGTCTGATGTTATGTTAAATAATAGATGCATGAGCAGCACATGCAGTCTGCCACTCTCATTTTAGATAACATAAATTTGCAACTGATGTCATGGGGTGGGTCCGTTCAATTTCTTATTCATTCGACCGTATCAATTTATGATGATGTGGCCAAAGAGATGCATGGAAACGTGAGACTTGTTAATTCAATTAAAGGTTGTGTCAATGCCGTATCGTTACATAGCAGTTGATGGCACACCCTAAAACTACAAAATTGTTTAACAAATCAAGCTTCATTCAAACAGAAAGAAGCTCTAGGGACTCAGCCCCTTGTAAACTGTGCTTCGGTGTGTGGTCTTGGTCACTTGTGTAGCTGTCGATGACAGCCGAGACGATGCCAACAACCTTCTTTGGCTTTCCCATTCCGGCTTTTAAGTAGCAAGCTGTCGTGCCATGATACTCATTGATGAAAGTGTAAGCCAAGCACCCACTGGTTGACAAGCACGAAGCACAACAGTCGCCAGGCTGCACTCCGTACACCGTCTTGATGTCGCCGCCATAAAAGTCATAACCTGTGAACTGGCGTGAGCACTGTGAAGGCAGAGAAACGCATTGATAATTGCTGGGCGTCCATGGCATGCAGAAATTTCCTTCAGAGCAGCACTCAGGACTAGAGGCGTCGCCACATTTGCCCAGATTTAAATTAGGACATGCAGCCTCAGATCGAGCGGCAGAACTGACAAAAGTAGCAACAGCTATGGTGAGTATGCACAACATGGTTTCAAAACTACTCGTAGCGCTTGGTAGTATATTTAAGAGTGATTCTGTGAGCATGAATCACAAGGCCTGGTGACTGGCGAGATATTCTTCCACTCGGGACAGGTTAAGTCATAAGATAGTTTTTGCTTGGTTCTTCGTGCACACATTTAGGATATACAGGTGCAATGCACGTGCGAATGCGTACGACAGATCTGACGAACAATCGATTGACGGCAAACCAAGTGTTTGTCGAACACTTTAATTGAGAGGATTAACAGCTTGTTATCAATCTACGTACGTTTGAGCAAACGAGTGGCTAGAATATTTCGAATAGATCGTTTGACGGCGGAATGTATATTTTCTTCAATTAAGACTGCATATTTGTCGTTCGATGTATCTAAAAGTATAGAGACACTTAGGTATATCATTCAATTAGGCAGTACTTAAGAATTCAGTGCAATGAAAGTAAAGAAGTCAGAATAGGTACATAAAGTAGGCTTTGAATCCACAATCGAGTGATTTCAAATACACTAGCTTTATTATCCGTGGACGGACGGAGGAACAATTCTGCTCTATAATGTTGGTGATAATATAAAATAGCATATGATATGAAGTATCATATGAGACAGTATGCAAGATATACGATAGCGTGGTCGTTGCTGAAACAACAATGTGGACATTTAAGTTGGCTGGTACCGTGTGCGCAATTGTTTATACGCAAACGAGTCATCCACAGCGATTCCAAGTTTTCGAACGAAGCCTTCCAGCTTGATATCCGCTAGTTGCCTAATCTGCTTCACACAACTGCTAACAAATTACGACGGCGCCAAGACTGTATTCCAGATCACGTTGTCGCATAGAATAAAGCGCACTAGTGACGGCGCTGCTGACGATCTCGTTTTTTTTAGCTGTTCGTAAATCAATAGAAAAAAAGCCTGAAGGTGTGACGAGATAGATGCCCACAGATCGAAATTTTGGGGCATGTAAAGAAGAAGGAATTGTGTCGCCTTTAGAAAGAATAGTAAAATGTCGTTATTTATGCTATGCTTCAAGTGTTTCTTCAGCGCCAATAACTGGGGGCTTACAAAGACATATGCAGATTTTTCGTCGCATGTTGTCAAATTCTGACACAAGAAATTATACGACCAACCCAGATACATTGGGTAATTATTGCTCACCAGCGAGCTCAGATATCTTTCCTGCCGCATCGCAAAGGACAAAATTAAGAATGTTCACGACTTATCTAGTAATTGATTTACAATGAGGTTTTTGCACAGCCATTTTATCATGGCGACTCTTGCTATCACGCCACAAATATTTACATCTACAAAAGGCCGTGTGCTTTTTTATGTAACGGCGATAACCCTGATGTCCGAATTTTTTCTTAATACCTTAGCACGGTTTTCTAGCTACGTATCCCAACTTTGTCATGCGTTCAAAACAGATTGAGCGGAGAAAATCGTGGAAGTAATTAATACGTCTACTTAATGCCGGCCACAATTTCATACTGCAAATTAACAATACGTAGAGATGGACCAAATGTGTTAAGATTGAGCTAATAAACAACGAAGAGCGTAATGTAGACAAAGCTTAAGGTCAGGAGGCGAGATGCAGTGTCAGGCTCAAACAAGCAAACGTAGCAATATATAGCTTTTAATATGGCACTGCCAAGTATAGTGATCCGAGACGATATCCACAACGAGCTGCGTTGTTTTCTTTAATTTGTTCAGAGACTGTTACAGGGTTGGCGATAAGCTGGCATTGTACGACCACGAGACTTGACTCTTCAAATGACCCGATCTGCTTCCAAATTTTTATCATTCCAGAGTTTGTTAAAGCCTCACAAACCTCAGGAAGCTGCAGATCATCACACAGTAGCTCTACCTCGTGCTGGTCAGAAATATTAGCTTCCGCAAACCAAACGTGCACTTTCGCTGAAGCACGGCTCGAAATTAGATTTTCTGTGCTTTCCATCTTCTCATTCTCGCGTAAGCGATAGCGATAGTAGCGCTGAGTCTGACTCTCCATGGCTTTTCGACTCTCCTGGTCTACGGTCAATACAAACTCAAGGTCGCTGTTTTTGTCACACAGTGTGAGCTCATTGTTGCAATTCAGCTCCATGATCAAAGCATTTTTGTGTGAAGACGTCTTCCCGGTCGCTGAGTTTGAAATTTCGAGCTTGACACGCAAAGGCACAAGAGTCTTTAACAACTCGTCATTTTCACACTTTTTGTCGGCTGCGTCGTCGCCATCGGTTGCAACACTGTTTACCGCTGGGTTTTCAACCTCAAGAAGTTCTTCGACTTCTTTAGTTTGATACAACTCGGCTAATGCATTGAGATCTTCTCCTCGATTAAAGCTTACACTGAGCTCATCGAATTCACGTGCAAGATCTTTATTACTCGCGCTGAAGTTCCGAAATAGACTCTCGCGTAAATATGGCACTGTCTCCATGATAAGACTTTTCTTGCCAGGAACAGATGTGCTACCAACTTGGACAATGGCCAATTCGTCCAAATATCGCTGGACATCAGCAAGAAGTGGCAACTGATCCATTAAGATTTCGTTCAGGTATTTGCGAACGCGTAAAAGCTGATCCTTTCGATACTGCGTCATCTCATAATGCTCACGTGCCGACTTGGTGCACAGCAAATAATAGATGGCCAGCCACACCTGGGCTTCAGTTGTCGTGAGCGCAAGGAGATCTCTAGGTTCTACTACAACCCACTTCTGATCGACAAATTTTTTCCACTTGACTTCAGTTGTTTGAGCCTCGTTAGATTTGGCTGTAGGTATCCTGGCAACAGCTTTGTGCGTCCATGGTGGGTTTTCAACCAACGCCACAAGTGTAAGGAGAGCATCGTGCTTGTCTAAGAGACGAGAAACAATATCTAGTGGAAGCATGTAAAGTCTCTCTGTCACGTAGCGCAGTATAGTCACAGTCTGCACAGCCACGCGAAATTCAATTTCCATACGCTGTCGCTCTAGCTCTTCACAGGGACTTTGTGCTTTCATCATCTGCACTAATTCTGGTCCAGATTTGTGAAAACTCGTGGCCTCTGCAATACGATCACGAGGATAACCGATCAGCCATGAAAGCTTTCGCATGCAGTAGTCAATGAGCTCAAGCAGCAGATCGTCAGTTAGGCTCTCAACAACGTGCTCGTGGTAAAATGCGACCTCCAGCAAGTTTGTCAATGTGGCTTCGTGATACACAACAAAGTACAGTCGCAAAGACGCAGCGTCCTGATCACGGCACTGAAGAAATGGCAATATATTTGCTTTCCAATACTCCAATGATAGCAAATTAGTTATGACAATCGAAAATTTGTCAAACGTCAGCAAAGTTTCCACCACAAAATTATCTTGTTTGTGTCGTGCAGACTGATGAGCTTGTAAATTTAGCTTTTCCATGATATGGTGATACTCTAGCCAATGCGTGGATCGTCCAATCTTGTCAGGCAATTGGTCTTCCAATCGTTCTACAATTTGCTCTACCTCCGTAGGAAACACTACGTACTGCGTTCCGTATACGTCACTAAAAGCAAGATACATCACATTAGATAAGACACTGTCGTACAACCTGTGTTAATAACTCGTATACCTCATTATGAATTCTGAAATTCATGAATGTGCCGGTTCATGAAGATTTCTGAAAGGCTCTCAACATTTAAATTTGATAGAAATGATCGGTTTCCACAGTTTTTCTGAGGTGTCTTGTGGTGGGATTACGAAAACAATTATGGATGAAGTAGAGCAGCTTGCGTTTTTTGTGGAATGGAATGACCCGCAGTCAGGTTTAAGGAAAAATTACATCATGTACTATCAAGGAGACAACACCGTCGAGCTCGTACATTAGAAATGTCTAGATTTAACCTACAAAAGCTTATAATTTTTCTGCTTTAAATGGTGCTACTTGGTAGGTGGATCGGCAAACGAAAAGGATTTTTTTGAAGCGTATTCGAATTCCTACAGTCAGCCTCGATAATCTGTTTGCCGGAAGCTTTATTATTGTGTAATTGTATAGCAAAATGGTGTCATAACTACACAAAAAAGTGATTTAATGTCCTGCAATAGGTATTCTCGACAGCTTAAGATTCTGGAGCCAGCCAATGATTACACACGAAAAAAACTTCAACAGCGTGAAGACAAAGCTGTCTTTGTCATTACACCAGACGGATACTCTCAGATGGGACGTATTATCCATCTCATTGAACAGAGTGGCCTATATATACGCAATCTCCAAATGGTGAATCTACAAAAGTATCATATTGCAAAGCTAGAGGCATTAACGTCAGAGGTCGAAAAAGAACGACAGTGCTCTCTTTTAGAAGATGTTTCGGTGTTAGTTGAAGTTCGACTTTCTGGACCAAAAGTGATCGACGATATTAAACTGAAATTAGTTGCCGCTGATATTGATACAGTACTTGTTGCCAGGACTGAGCTCGAAATTTTTTGTTCGGACGAGAGTGCAAGCGATCCCTATTTTAGCACTGCACTACTGAATCATTGCACTTTGTGTCTTATCCGTCCGCGAATTGTCCAAGAAGCTGGCACCGGCGAGATTTTAGATGCCATTTTGACAGCAGGTTTTGAAATATCGGCGCTGAAGCTCGTGCATTTGAGAATGGACGAAGCCGATGAGCTCTTTCAAATTTATAGAGGACTCATGCGACAGTACCATGTACGTTAGATCTAGTGCATTTGACGAAGCCAGAATTCTTACGTCAATCAACAGGAAATGCTCAAGTACATGTGCTCATCCCCATGTCTGGCACTCGAAGTTCGTGGTGAAGATGTGGTGCACCGTTTTAGAGATTTTTGCGGTCCATTTGATGTCCAGGTCGCAAAAATTTTGCAGCCACAGAGCCTTCGAGCCAAGTACGGTCGCTCCATCATCTACAACGCTCTTCATTGTACTGACTGTAACGAGGACGGCGTTCTCGAATGTCAATACATTTTCAAAGCGCTCTCTTCGCAGTGACATCCAACGAATTATGCGACATGAGCAGATGATGCAAAAAAAGTAAAAATTTTATCAAGCAAGTCTACAAATAATTTCTTTCGTGACATTAACCACAGCCAGACTCTGTAGACAGATATGCAAATTTGACAACTTTGCCATCTTTCGAGCGACGAAATCGAGTTTCGGCGGGATCAAAGCCCTGCTCCTTCGAGTCGTAAAGTGCCCAATGCGGTGTAGGAGCTATATACTCATCAGCGGTAAATAGTGTACCATCTTCATAGTACTTTGCAATGAGTTCGTGAAAGCGATCATAGTCAATCCAGGTGTGCCACACACCTTCCCGGTAGAACTTCTTCTTGGCTATCAAAACGCAGTTTGAGTGGGCGTGCTCAGAGGCCAGAGCATAGTCACCACTCACGCGGTCGCACAATGCCGAGCAAAAGCTGCGTACTTCCTCATGCCACGGCACGTTTTGCATAGTCAAATTGGAACCATCGGATTTTCCACAATACGTCACGGCTTTCACTTCGATGAAGTCAGGATGGCCAATGTTGATAAGCTCAGCATAATTATCTAGTTCCTCCATGTTATATGACTTGACAAGCGTCAAACGGTACACAGTACGCTGCCCCTTGTGCTTAAGCTCTTCCAAACAGGCGAGAAAACGCTCCCAAAAGTCCTTAAACAGAGGTCGATCGACCGCACGCAACGACTCTTTCGTAGCAGCGTCAACACTGACATACAATTGCGTGATCGGGTTCAGAGCAGCAATTTTTTCAGGAAACTGGGCGTTTGTCACTAAGAAAGACGAAATCCGCCGATGATGAAGCTGCTTGCAGAACTCGTTGATTTGTGGGTACATGATAGCTTCACCTACAAGAGACAACGCGCAGTGGCGGACTGTGAACGCATCGTTCCATCGTGCTGGTATTAAACCAGGAAGTCCTTTGAGTTCCTTTATCATGTTTTGATGGCGTTCTATCGCACCTTTGACAAGAGTCTTAGCATCGTCAGTCTTCCAACGCCACACACGGCCGACAGGGTTCTTGTGATGGCGCCAACAAAACACGCACTTGTTTGCGCATGCTAAACTTGGAGTAGTTTCCATGCACTGAAAGCTTGTAATGCCGTAAAATGCGTGCTTGTAGCAGCCGCCACGTCCTCGAAGTTGATGCTTAGTCCAACGACAGAGCTTGACCGCACTGTGTGTACCAATTATTTTGTACCCTTCTTTCGTCAATGCTTTGCGCTGCATCGGAGTTACCATCTCACGAGACATATTCGCAGCTTCCGACTCCTTCATCGACGCTCCAACGTCCTCTACATCAACCATACCGTTGTCATCGTTCATTCTCCGTTTTCTTTGCTCTTCTTCGTCCGATTGTTCGTCTACTAGACATTTCTCGTTCATTAAATCTTCTTCATTTAGTTCCACAGTCTCACCATTAGCTGCAGTCAATGCTGCTTTCAGCGCTCTCTTCTGACGTCGAAACTTTTTCTGTGAGATCCAGTCTTTCTTTTCAGTCTTCGACAAACTTTGATTCTTCCTGAACGCGTTCACTGCCTTCTCAGAGCTGTATTCACACATGGCAGCGACCAAATTGTCCATCCAGTCATTAAATTGCTTGAATTGATCCAAATTATCATCTCCCAAACCCAACGTCACAAGAGCTGGTGAACCTAAGTTGCACAAGTTACAGTCCAAATTCTTAGCTGCAGTGCCATAATTCTCGTCATACTCGGCGTTGCCCAATCCAAAGACTGCATGCTGCACGCCGCTAAGCCATTTCTTAGAAACGCGAAAATCGTGTGTCATGTCTTTAATCCAGTTGCACAACATTCGTGCGTCCTCGGGAGGCTGTCCGTGCGTCCACGTAGACAGAATGGCCACTACGATGGCTTCCTGCTCTAAATTGTCTTGATCGTAATCCTTCATACTCACAACACTTGTCTGAAAATGAAAGCCTGATATATTTAAAGCAAACAACGTTTTTTCTAGCGCTTCTGCCATTGCTTTTGACGTTCCAGTCTGCGTCCCGTACAGGATGCGCACAGTCATGGGTTCCGAGCTACCTTTGTCACATTGCTGCTGCGACTTCTTGGGCTTACATTTAGTAGAAACCGCAGCATCGTCACATGTAGCAATGCTACGACGGATTTTTTGTATGTGAAGCAGTACGCCGACTGCCATTAGCAGCAAACTCACGCCGACGCTGGTAGAAGAGGGTGACAGCATTTTGAGATGTGGTCTGCTCCACCCACCCAATTATCTTAGAATTAGTATGACCTAATTTTGTCCTTCTAGCTCACTAAACGCTCTTTTTACGCGACATAGTCCACACTTTGATTTTAAATCGTGGATTTTCAATTGTGGTTGTGCTTAGTCCAAGAAATTGATCAAGAAGACAATGGCAAACAAGGGAACGTCGTTGTGGCGCATGGCAGGTGTGTCGTATCTGCAGTACGTAAACAAATCTGCTAGTGTGCTTCGAGCATCCCTGAAGGAGCCTGCTAAAAGCACGTTGGAGGCTCGATCCAACGTCGAATTTGCCGCCTTTAAATGGGTTAACGGCGAGCGTGGCGAGCGCGTGGACATTGACTCAATCAAGAAGATTGCAGATACGTTCAAGATGGCGTAGAGAGCAGGTACATACAACGAATCAAAGCACAAGGATGTTAAAAATTGCAGACCATGGCGTGAACAAGCTTATAAGGAGACGAAGAGGATTTAATCATGGTATTGTCTTACTACTAGGCTTATCGGTAACTAAGTACGAAAATGCTCTGAGTGGTCAATTGTGTCTCATTGATATCTTCATTTTTCACTGGTCATTCCTGTAATTTAGCATAGGCGTTATACGCATCAACGAGACGGAAGAATGAACGACACATCTATACTCATTAAATTGATTTATTTGATACTTGCCAGGCTAAAAAAAATACGCGTCTCCATCCATCGCATGATAATTAGGATCCTCTCGCGTACTTGCGACGTCGATATGAATCCTTCATATACTGATATCCGACTAATGGCGGCAGCACGACGACTGCAACTCCTGCTCCAGCCACGGCTGCAACAGCTGCAACTCCTATTACAACTGTCTTGGTGACGGCGCGCATTGGCGCCCAGCAGCCAAATTTGAGGCTGTTGGAGTGCAAAAAGCTTAATGGCAAACACATCGTCTCATCGTGATTGTTCCACGAGCACAAGCAAGACCAGCAAAACTCCAGGTCACATTGTAAGCACTTCATGTGCGAGCAACCACCTTGTTTCTCAATCACAATTTTGCAGCCAGGGCATGCGCGTACGTTGTGATGCTTCTTCCAATGTCCAAAACGCTTATCTACACGCCGACAGGTTAGGAGTTTGTGAAAGTCGCTACCGCACCGCATGCACGATTCGCGCTTACAAACGTGGCACCTGACTCGGCGCGCTGTCGAATATAGCGGTTCGTCCAAGACAGCGCAACAACCAGCACGTGGACAAAAGCGGATACCAACTCTTTGATTTCTTACGAACTTTTTGTACTTTAAAAACGTGTCGGGCGACACCAAACTTTCAATAAGCTCCTCAGATAGTGGATGAGTGCATTGTGGCGCCAGACACACCAGCTTTTTCTGTGAAACTTCACCCTCAACAACTTTAAACTCAATGTACCACCGCGTACAATTAGTGCAGAACGAATTACTGCACAAAGCGCACGTGTGTGATTGCAAAACGTTCAGCTTATCAAAGCAAATTCGACATTCACGCCTTCTCATCGAATTAAAGCTGTCGCTTGAACCCTCAGCGACGGCATTTCCAGCAATAGCAGAAGTAGATGAACTCATGAAGGAGAAGTCCGCTAGTGCTAGATCAAAATCTTCTTTGCAATCCGAGCTTCCTCCTTGAAGCACACTGCGAGAAATACTCGCTCGAATTTTTATTGACGCAGGTGAAAAGGCAATTGCACGAGTGTTATGCTCGTCCACTGTGACTTCGTTTGCTTGTGCTTGTACCAAAGCTGGAGCGAATTGCCCCTCACACTCTCCCAATAATTGGTGCAAAGAGGCAGTTGATAGTACGGATGATCCTATCGATGAGGCAGAAGTGGGTACGAGATGGCGGCTCGAATGAGTAGTAGGTTGAATAGATAAACACTGCTGGTTTTGAAAAGGCTCTGTGGTTGAGCTTTCGTGCAATGACTGTACAGGATACTGACTGGATAATGACAGCTTAAGCTGTTCGCTCTCAAGCTTTGAGAGACCCGAGTATTCTGCCTTAACATGATGTAGATGAGACTTCCCGCACGGCGCAATTTCCATAATTTTGAATCAGTATGCTCACTCTAATTAATGAACAGTGGATAATTAAATGCTTCACATAAGATAGAAGTCTAGCAGCTCCGGACTGTTGTAGGCGAGTTGCATCACTCTTGATCTGAGTTTTCTTGACGGGGTGCGACGTTCCGTGGATAGTTCTTATCTTTAGTAATACTATAGTAAGCACTGGTATTTGGCGGTGAGTTATTGAAAAGTCTGGTGCCAGAGCTTAAGTACGTTACCCTTTTCTCTTGATGAAATCTTTTTAATTCCTGATAAAGGTATTAAGTTTTGATTGACTCACGAGGAAAAAGTACAAGGTTTCAACTATAGGCACACGTTTAATTTAACAGCTTTAAGGAATATTATGGGCAAAAATTGATTCAAAAGTCCTCATCCATCTCACCCTGTGCTAATCTTGAGATCTGCAGCTGCCGCCACGGAAGCGCGAAGAGAAGAAAATTTTGCTGATGATATGTCGACAGAGGCGCGACGCCTAAGGAGAAGTAACTTTACTGGCGGATTAGTTGGCGGATTAGTTGGCGATTCAGTCTGACGTAATTTGTTTGATGGGCTTTGTCGCACTATGACGTGGGCTGCTGGCGCGGTCTGATCGAGCACAAAAAAGCTGATTATCAAATGTTCTCTTGCATTAGTGACGCTTCATGGACGTACTGAAAGATGCGGTGCTACAACGCTACCACATCGTGAAGTGTGGCCTTTTGATAGTGACACTAAAGCCTGACCTATATTTGCGACCCTACTCGCAGCAATTGACACCCTTCGATCACAAACACAATTCATCAGTTCAGATCACGAAGAATCTAATCAATATGCACCAAGCAAAGTATCAAACGCACTTTTCAGCGGTCTTCATTGAATACACGTCGCGCTTTTTCTTTTCATTCTGTAAAATGCTCTAGTCAGAAGATGCAGGGAACCGTGTTCTGATGCGTCAAGCTCACCTTCTCTACCATTTCTTCAAAGCTTGAACTACTACCATAAACCTCGGGCCCAAAAAGCGCTTCTAAGACCAATGAAGCGCCTCGACGATGATAGACGGTAACCCCATCGACGCGTGTTTCCATGCCCATTTCATCAACAGCTGAACGCAGACTGAACCCTAGACCGAGGCCTAAAATACTAGGACACTTGCCCTTAAATTGACCAAGTAACTGCAATCGTGCCTTCATATCAACCTTGATGACCCCATCGTCTTGTTCAAATAAGAGCGACTTCCCCGCTTCGTCAAAACCTGGCAGCAGATTCGTCTTGTATCCAGCACCCCAGACGATTGCTCCGGCTGTTGCATATGCTTTGTCGATGAGTGTCTGTGAACCCTTTTCATTTACTTGAAACAGCCTAACACGCACTTCTCGCCCTGACTTCACGCTCTTGAACAACTTCTTGGCATCCTCGCGAAGTCCCGTAAAAGTATTCACGCAACCAGACCGATCAACTCGACTCCCATCGACACCGTCAATTTCAGCTTCCTTTTTTGAACCATAATAACACCGGATTGGAGATCGATGCAAAATCGTAATATCCTTTGGGCTGAATGCTGCCGTCTGAGATACAATGAAACCACTGGCACTGTGACTTGCGTGACATTTATGCTTGACTGTAGTAGAGGTGGATGAATTGTCATGTTTTTTTACTGTGAGAGGGGCTAAGGTCAGTGTCAATTTGTCAGAGGCTCTAAGGTGTGGGACGGATGTGGTCTGAATTTCCTCGGAGTCGAATTGAGTTTGTTTCTTAGAGCTATCCGTACTCAACAAAAGACCTTTTGTTTTAGAATCATAAAATTTGTTCAAAAGAAGCCACGCAACCGAGAAGGAGCTATGAGATCCACCGACGATACAGACTTTTCGCTCACCTGGAGGCAATGCAAGAAGATGTCGTTTTAACTTTGCAAATCCTTCCTCTCGCAAGCAGGAATCCGAGGTGAACAGTTTGGAATGATAAGCAAGATTATCCAAGGAAGGCAGTTCTTGTGTGCCTCCTGTTGCTAATATCAGATGCTCAGTGTACAATACTGTGGCAGCAGCGCTTCCATTAGTGCTTCGAGTATGGACACAGATAAGACCATTTTGCTGTGCCTCGAACTTAGTTGCTGTTGTATCATATAATACTTTACTCGTGTCACAAGCTTTGCCGGATATTTCTCGAACCAGACAAGCTCCTACATGACGCAGAAAGCAACCCATTTCCGTAAGCTTTCCAGGTGCTGCACCGAGTTCTTCTAGTCGCTTGGCGCTTACGTGAGTACGTAAACCCTCCAAAAACGTATTCTTAATACTCTCCGGTGGGTCTAGTTCGGATTTTTCGTCGAGAATGCTAGCCAGCAGACTGCATGCAAACGTGTTTGAGTTGATTATATATTCGCCCAAATTGCCCCCACCAAATGTATTTGAATTGCCGTCGTGAAGAACTGCGACACCCATTTGCTCGACTTTCAATAAATTGCTGAGCTCATTATCCTTGGTAGTACCATACTTTTTCGGATCCAACAGTCGCGGTAGATAGCCTGTTCGCGCAGCTCGTATAAAGATGCCAATTCCTGCTGGACCTCCACCTACAATAACAGCCTTATACAACTCTCTGCTCTGAGTCATCAAGCTCGTCTCGTCACGTTCGCTTGGAAGCACTTGATGGGCCTCCTTGATCGGAACCTCTGATGTGGTACCAATATACAGCCACTGATAAAAATAGAAATCTAAAATAGCGTTAAAATGTTCTGAGGAAGGAGCCCTTGTAATAGGCTGCTAGATACACGTCCAGCCGCTCTTTGCTTGTCAGAAATATGCAGCCTATATGACGGCTATACATCGAACAGCTGTTACGACTATCAAATCGCTATGATTGATCCATTATCACAGACGTTGTCAGCATTGCGATAATTTGCCTTCATCTCACTCGATGACAATCAGTTTGGCTCATCTTGTCTTTCGTGTCTTGGACGAAGGTTTTGGTAGTCGTAAAGGCGTGGAATAGCTTGCACGTAACTGCGTATCTGAGCCTACTGGAGTGCGTAGAGCCGATCGGACACTGGACATGCGGGCACGAACATTTCGAGACATGTGCGTGTGTTCAGCCTTGTAACGACTTCTTAGCGGCGTATTTTGCCCTGGCAACCGCAGGTTGGGGTTGCGGTGGCGCTTAAGTCAAGCAAAGGAGCTTATTAACGTCAACAACATAAACATAAGTCTTCTTAACGAGCGATGCAGACTCACAGCTTCTGATTCCAACCGAGTTGCCACTTTTTCCCGCCGCGACGTATCTTGAATCTCAAAAGATGGTGTGTTCCAAATACGTCCTGCAGCCAATATCACAATAAACACATTGCTCGATTTATAAAAAATGTTAATGACAATACACACCAGGCGTTGCCTCGTTGTCTAAAATCGTTGGTGTGGCTTCAATATCTCCCCATGTCATTAAAGGGCTTGCATCAACACCCGGAGCTATGATTGGTGTCATCGGCACTAAAGAATATTTATCTCGTGAAGCCGACGATCCACCCCCACATTCGGACTCGACCAACTGTTTCAGTCACTCAGTGCAATACACGGTCTGCTGTTAGTTGTTTACAGATGAATCAGCATATGAAGGGCTTACTTGAACGTCATTTGAGAAAAACCTAGAATTAGCGTAAACTGTTTTTGCCCTTGATCTAGGAGGTAGTCTTGAACGCGAATTTGGATCTTTCTCGAGCAAGAGCTGACCTTTGGAAGCAGCTTTGATCTATCAGATGTGAAGCGGCGGTAGTGAAACAGAGATTTTCTGGCTAGCTTTTCATTCATGACAATCAAACCTACTTGGCAGATGTCTCGTGTTGCTTCCAGCTCAGGTTGAAAGATTAATGGATTTCTCGCACGATACCTCCACGTCTCAGGAAAGCCTGGTCTGTCATCCTTAAGACCTAGGTCAACAACACCAATAGAGCCGTAAGTCAAGTGATCATGGCACCTAATTATACATCAATTGACCTTTCGGAGCACATGCTTCGTCTACAAGTTTTCGTTGATCTTTCGAGATCCAAGTGCCATTTGCCAACAAATGAAGCTTCGAATCCCCTTTATCTTTGTTTTCATCGAAAGCCCAATGATACTTTCTTTGATGGTCATTGACCGCTTTTTCTTGCAATTCCTTGAAAGACTCATTATCTTCAGAAGTATGAGTTGCCACAAAGCGGTTAAGGGTCATGGATGCCATAACACTATTGGAGTCATCTTCGACCTGAACCCGGTCGCCAGCCGCTAGCTTAGCATACGGAGTAGGTTGATCCCAACCTACTACGCTCGCATTGCTCCGCACTGATGTGTCGTCGCTAGTAGTCGATATAGCGCGCAAAGCTGTTTCAGTCCCCTCGTCAGCAAGCAGAAGCTACATTGGAAAAAAGTAATGAGCGCATAAAAATTCAGTACCAAAGACACGTGCCCGAGTTTAGATAAGTTTTTTACCCGTCTCTGTTTCTGGAGCTTAGGTAGGTCTGGGAAGAAGTCTCGCTCAATAATTAGGCCCAGCGTCTCCACATACTCATCTTCCTCCAGCACTACCTTCTTACTCATTTTTGGCAATGCAATAACTGAAATGTTTCCAATGTAATCTTAAAATTGTCGTGAATATTTGTGCTTTGGGCAAGAACTTAGACTTTTTGTAAGAAATATACAATTAAGGCATTATTTTAGCGAAAAACATTCTACAAGAGGATGCAAAAATCTAAGGGACGCCTGAATTAATCAGCTTAAACATTTGGGAGAGCAAGTCTTATTGCACATAGCATTCGCGACTTCCATAGAAGCCAAGATAGCAAAGATACAAAAACGTTTTGTCAACGAGGTCCGTAATCTATTATGTTGTAGCATGCAACATTATAGAAATTGCACGCATTTCTGTTGTACTTAGAGCGAAGCTCAGAAATACTGTCACGTTTCATGATCAAAACTCAATACGGATGATATGATGGAAGATCGGTGTGTCGTCATAGACTATTTCTTAAGCAAAGCGCGAAACCGGTTTGATGAAAGCGAGTAAGTTTTCCCACTCAGGTTGGCTTGGACGACAGAGTTTGACCCATTGCACCCCACAATCTGTAGAAACTGGGTCATGCTAGACTCAAGTGTTTGTCAGCTTCATATATACATCACAAGCTAATACTTAGGCACTGCTCAGCAGGTAACGATCGTTACCTGTCTTCTCAGCTTAGCTGAGGTCGTGGTGCACTCATACAGCCTCATATCCATGTTTTAGCCTGCCCATACGGCACGAAAGATGATATCCGAGTTCAATTTTAAAGATGGCTAGGTAAACACGGGAGGTATTGTGTGAGCCTCGCATGTATGGGATTTCTCCATAAAGATGTTAACTATGACCGTTACTGGTTGAGTATCTTCAGACGAGCAGAGTTATTGACTCGTGACCATAGTTCGCT